CCACCAGTAAAACGAATATTCGTTGCCCGTGGAGGCCGTGCGGTTGCGTCAGTACCGCATCCTTGGACGCACAATCCCCCGCTAAGGGATGACTGTCCGCCTGGGATGCTTAACCCCTTCCCGATGCTACGTGACAAGGTTACATCATCCCATCTGCTCCGATGGGAAAGTTTTGCGGCATAACTCTCGTCAGTTTCATCATCTCTGTCCCTCTTTGTAATTTGCAAATACAAGTACTACTGCTGGTGTTTGTATATGATCTTCCTGTTGAGTGCCTGTCACCGGAAAGGAAACCTTCTTAAACGCTGTCAGGCGACCCTATAGAGGCCGACCGCAGATTTAAATACATATGAATGACGTCAGCCCAATTTAAAAGGCGTTGTAATTTATTTTAGTCTGTTCTGGCTAAAATAAAAATGCGTTTACCAGCTGAGGAATTCGGCATATACATCTTTTTTTTTCTCTAGCCAACCTAATTTTAGATAACGAATTAAACTTTTATATCAAACAGACTTGGCATAAGAAAATATTGATGCATTCCATCAACATGAATCAACTGAACTTTCAAACAGAATGCCCCCTTTTGTAACGAGAAAACTGTAAAAAAGTTAAAAAAAAGTAAAATTAGTACTGAAGCAGTTGAATAAAGTGTTCTACTTTAGTTCATGTGTTGAGGACTCCTATCATGTTACCTCGGATTAGTTCTCATTCAGCCACAAGCAGATAATGTAGTGCCATTCATTCCAGTGTTTAATTAATTCCAGTGTTTATATAAGTCTCTGGTATTTTGCCAATACATTAGGAGTGCAGGCAGAAATATCGCATAAACCTGCCATATCACTGGACCAGAGTGAAACCGCAGGTGACGGCTACGTTTGTGCCTTTACTGCCAGTGTGCCCCTTCTGTCTTGACTAGCTGTCATAGGGAAGGCGGCGCTTGCTATTGTTTCACAGAAAGACTGGATAATGATTTAGGTTTCTTCGAATTAACTCTGCTCTGCTCTCCTCCATACACAGCAGGGCAATCCATTGATCCGTTTTAGTCCCTCTTCAAGCAGGACCATGGTGACAGAGCCCGTTCCAATAAGCTTCGGATAAAATGGCTCACCTGGGTAATACCTAATTCCACTGCAGATTACTCACCTTCCACGAGATACCTTTGTGGTTAACAGAAGCAGTAACGCCCACAAAAACTACATTTTATATACTGATTATTTTTATTGTCCAAATCTATTTTCCAGAAACTACAATGACATTATTACAGGTAGAGTATTGAAATTGAGAATATAAAAAGCAGTCGGTCTCAGATCAGTCAGTTTAACAATTTAATATCATGTAAGCTTTGGATGGTCTTATAGAGCATATATGTACATAAAACGTGACGCTTCATCTGTTCATCAGCCTGTGTTGCTCAGATGAAGGCAGTGTGATACAGGAGGAGGGTTGAAGTAAACTGGAGATGTAGATGTCAGGCAAATATGCAGGTGGGGCATGGGTGTGAAGGTTTAATAACTGTGCTTTCCTGTTGGGATGGGGGGGGTCAAATTTCTGTCATGGTTTACATACCGTATAATGCATGCTTTGTAAAAATAATAAAATTTTATTAACTTCAATTCCTTTCAGTTCTTTTAAATGTGCCACTTTTGAACCACCCCTCCCTCTAGAAGCCGTATAATGAGTAGGGGTCAGAGTTAGCAGTTTCTCCCACTGCAATTACTGCCTGCATTGATTTAAGGAATACGAACGTATTTTTATGCAGTCCCCACCCTCCAGGACACATTAGACCCTCCCTCTCTGGTCCAAGACGGCCCATTCAAGCGCACCTGCCAATGAACATAAATCGCAGCCTGCCATACCTTCCGCAGAGTTAAGCCTCTCGTTGCCAAACGTGAAGTCGCCCACCCCCCTCCTAGCCAACACGGCACACCAGTGCAGCACTAAAGCTTATCGACCACCTTTCTGTGGTCATTACCACAGCGGGGCCCAGTGACAGCTGCACCTTAGCAATTACCACCCACCCCCCCCACGCCTCACTTTCCCCTGGAATCACCTGGCAGGAACTAAGGTGACGACTGAAAACACAAGACAAAAATAATGCATAAAGTGCAACGGACGAAGGTGAATAAAAGTGCGTACGTCGCACAGATATGTAAATGACAGCTTGTCCTCACCTATGCCCTGCAGAAAATGTGCATATATTTTTTTAAATTGCTTCTCACTTCATATATAATACACAAACATGGAGCGCATAGACGGAATCCATTGCCCTTCAGTGCGTCAAGGTTTTACCATCAGGTGACCACAGCAGGGCCGACAGGGAGGAGAATCCCTTTGTGATCAGATCACCGGCTGACAGTGATGGCAGGAGAAAAGGTACACGCTAGAGAAACAGACACTCGCACACAAAAGATTATGGCGTTCGGGAGAGGAGAACAAAAGCCGTGTGACTCTGGCGTGCGGCGGGGTGGTGTGTGTGTGTGTGTGTGGGCTGGGGGCTGCTTCATTAACACATCAGGGCCCTGCACACTCCCTCCCCCCCCCCTTGGCGAGACGAGAGGCCGGATGCCCACCCTAATGCTTCCTCTACATTCATCATCACCTCTGCTTGCTCCTGCTCCCGTAGCTTGGCCTGGTAATTGATAATTAAAGAGCAATAAACACAGCGGTCAATGTAATCTCACGGCGGGAGAGCCTGGGCTCACACAATCGGTCTGGGGGAGGGAAAAAAAAAGGGCTGTAATTCACCCACTAAGGCTCCCCAGGACAAACACGCACACACACTGGCTGTAACAGAAGAACAAGGAAACACCCGATTGCCGATACAGATCACCTCAACGACAACGAAACCAAAACATTTCTTAAATATTTTAAATAGCTTCTCGCTCCTGACACATCTACATCTGAGCACACAATCGAAACCCTAACCACATCAATGTCAGAGATGACAGGCTATCGAAATATTCCATTTTCATCTTCACCATGTGACCACAAAGAGGCCCGTTTAATTCTCTGCGACGTATCACAACAGGAAGGCATGACAATGAGGGAGCAGAACACGATCCTCTTATAAAGGGTTCATTCCGTCCTGATTGGTCCACCACTGTCCATCCGCAGGTACCTGCCTCTCTTCCCCTCTTCAGAGTCTCCCCAAAAATGTAACATGTGGGGGGAACCCACAGATACGGTACACCTTATGTGGACTAAGGGAGCCCAAACATGACCTCTAACCCTGACACAGAAGTCCAATCCCCTAGTGGCTAGTCTGATATCATCCATCCATCCATCCAACCATCCATCCATCGTCATGGTCACCATGGTGTTTCCATCAAAGTATGTACTCATCATGCTCTTGGAAGCCATGTGGCCATCAAATGCCGAATCAATTCGGTGATAATGCAGTGTAATCGTGTGCAGACTGGGAACACTGAATGACAAAGGTTTCTCCTCTGCTTAAAGGGTGTCCTTACATTATTACCCAGAAAGGGGGCAGCTGTCAGAGAGCCCTTGGCTGCCCCCCAGTATGCAGGGACCTGGTGTCACCCACCCACCCGCTGGGCTTTGCCTGGTTGGCCAACGGTCACCGCGGCCCACAGATAAATTTTTTTACAGCTTTCTTCCACTGAAAAAAAAATCCATCCCCAACAACAAAGCATAATAACCCATATTTTCAATAACCACAATCCAGACTCCACCCCCCCCCCCCCCCCCCCCCCCCCCCCCCCCCCCACCCCCACACCCCACCCACACACACCCCCCCCCCCCCCCCCCCCCCAGACTGCCCACGCCCACACACACACACAACCACACAGTTCCGCATCATCTCGCCATGACCAAAAACGCCTTACGCTTCCTGACGCCTATCAGCTCTGATCAGAGAGGGAGATGCTCTCTGTTCATTATATCATGCATGCTTTCATCAACCAGAAGACAATTCAGATAGCATTCCGAGCCAAACTGCACACCCTAGCTTAGTATGCCATCTCCTACCAGCAAAAAAAACATGATCAGGCCTGAAGATGTTGCCTGGTATCAAAACCTGTCAAAACCATTTTTGAAGTGGAGGGTGGGACGGGACAGCGAGACGACCCCAGCGAAAGACTTCCGTGTGGACCTCAGGTATAAATGGCAGGAGCCATGGATCTCTCTCACTCACACTCACATTCACACACACACACACACTCACTCACACACACACACACACACACTCCTGATCCAAATCCATCCCACCTGCCCAGCCAACCACAATCAGTATTAATCCCGATTTTAGGTCAGAGCTGACCTTCAGGTTCAGACCCCAATTTCACACAACCTAAGGATTTTTATCCTTCTCAATGGGCTTCACTACCCCCCCCCCCCCCCCAACTCTGTCTGCCAGCCTCCCGTGTGTTTCAGGTAATCTTCCTGAGCAGGCGTCTCGCTAATGGGTAAAGATGGTCTTTTCAGTAATAGATGTCATTTGGGGAGATGGCACATTAAGGGAAAGGGGCTTCCAGTTACTATTGTTACATCTTAACAGCAATTTGTAGCTATACACCCCTGGAGTGGCACTCAAATGCACCCCAGAGACTCTGGTTTGTAAGCCCTGGCTTCTAACCTGCCCCCACCACCAACCACGAGGCACCCCACCTCGCCACGCCGGCTACGCTCACGGAAACCCAACTCCACCACTTTTTTTTTTTTTTATTGCTGAAGACGGATTAGATGGGAACTCGGACTGACATTTCCATATAGATTTTCACTCATCCGTTCGCTGGCAATAACAGAGCTGCGAGGAGCGCTGTTTATGGGATGCGCTGGAAACGTTAATTCACAGACAAAAAAAAATAATAATATACCAAGCTAATGGCGAGTAAATACAACCAAATGAAATGAAACAAGGCAGTAAATTAAACTGCTCACAGCTGTTGACCTGATAACATGCCAGTGCACTGGCAGCTGGGGTGGTGACTCTTTCCCAGTGTGCCTCTCATTACAGTGGGAGTGGGGGGGGGGGGGGGGGGGGGGGGGGGGTAAACCAGTTTTCGTTTCCCAGTCTCCCTCACGTGAAGTGACTACGGTATATTCAATAATACTGAACATCATTGAGGTTACCTGACACGTTCCTCAGCCCGCCTGTTAAGATCCACGAAGCTCCGATTTCATATTTAAAGATCCAACTGCTTAAAGAGAAGATGGGACTTTAAATTTGTGGATCTTAATTGTTGGGGTGAGGAATGTGTCGGTACCTAAATGATGTATACGAGTGATCTAAAGATATTTCCTATCCAGTCAACATTAAGGAACAATAACTGCCATCACAGGACCAAGGTGGGAGGAAAAAAAAGCCCCCCCCCATCAGTGTAGATAAGAGAGCCCTTTATGAGAGGAAATTTGATAAGGAGGAAGAAGGAACAACTCTGGTGTTGCACCGTTAGCTCAGAGGGTTTCAGGCTTTTGCTGTTGAACAAGTTGGCTTTCCTTCAGAATTTTTTATTGGAAGAGAACAAAAATCAAACCAAAACTGTCATTTCCCATGCAGATTTAAAAAAAAAACAAATCACACAAAAAAGGTCAGTGAAAGGTGAGAATACTGCCACTCCGATCGCCGTGACCTTTGGGGGAAATGGGGGACCACATGTGTGAGGAGTCCGGCATGGTTATGTAATGCACTTTTTTGAAATGCACACTAACCGGCTAAGAGTTTAGGGCCGGCGTGTGGACCTCTCCTCTCAGCATCTCAGCAACACCATCAGAGCTGCTCTGCTGGATCGGGGGGGGGGGCAGTGAAGATTGTCGAAGGCTTTCTCACAACAACATCCTGCAGCAGCCAGCCTCCTCCACAGCTGGACTGGGGCCCCGAGACAGACTGCTGGCCGATGTTCCCAAAACAGTGGATTTTAATAAAGTAGCACCTTGTATCCTAACAAGGTCAAAAAATAATAAAAAAAAAATGATCATGCTGAATGTATGGGGAAGGAGGGGGGTAAAGGGGTGGGGTTAAGCAGGAGGAGAAAATGCCAATGTCCCCCTCCCCCTGTCCCCCCCCCCGTAGCAGAAGCACCGAGGCCTTGTTTTGCTGTCCCCTGGTCTGGTCCCAAGCACTTCCCGCTAACCACACTCAGGGCTGTTTGCGGAAGCTGAAGATCTCCCTTGTCTTGGAGCCCCTCTTGCCCTCAGGGGTTGGCGGGGGCTGCGGCGAGGGCGGGGGCTGCGGCGTGGCCGTGCCTCCGTACGGGCAGCTCTGCGAGTCGGGGTGCTCGCCGGAACACTCCACTGCTGGGATGTAGCGACTGTCCCACATGCCCGGGCCGCACAGCCTGCACAGGTCATGCAGGCTGCAAGGGATTCTGGGAAGGAGGCGGAATTGGTAAAGCAGGCTCCGAGCCTAAGAAACAGGGCGAAATAGGCATAAAAACAAAGAGCTCATTAAGAAAAGAAAAAAAACATAATAATGTTATTAGTCCATGAAAATCCCCAAACAAACTTAAACTTAAATATATAATACAGAACTCGCTCTGCTGAGGCCAAATGTTTGCTGACCCCATTATAATAAATCTTTTGGAAAGAGTGGAGCAGAGAAAGAGCAAAGTCCCATTACCATCAATCACAAAGATAATTAACACTTTAAAACTGAAGGGTCTAGAGAAAAAAAAGAGGCAGACAACTGAACAAATGTGCCCGTTTATAACGAGCCTTGTTACCACTTACAATGGAGTGCTTTTGTGTTTTAATACAGAGCAGCTATCCATCTACCTGCTCTTAATTTGGAAATCAAGCCAGGATCCTTATGACTGAGGGATGTTCTAAAAATAACCCCAGGAGACAATGTCACATTTCTGGGGTGGTTCTGACCCCGGATTCTGGAGTGAAACTGTGCCAGTCCTCTGCATCTGCTCTGGGATCTTTTTTGCTTTTTTGTTTTTTAAATAAATAAAAATATTACATTAACGTGGCAATTCCAAATAAAAATTAAAAATAGGACTGAAAGAAGAAAAACTGAGAAAACCATTTAAAAAAGACACACACACACACACACACACACACACACACACACACACCCGTACTCATGTCTGTGGGGACCGTCCATTCCTTTCTATGGCCATAACCTTATAATAATCCCAACAATGACAACCTACCCAGCCCTAACCTTAACCATAAGTAACCAAACAAAATTTTTGGCATTTTTAGTTTTTTCATTGCAGTCACAGATTTTTATGAAACTGAGTTTCCCCTTGTGGGGACTGAAAAAAAAATGGTCCCCACAACGTCAGTATAACAGGTTTTTAATCACATTGTGTACACAGTGTAATGCATCTCAAAGTGCTACAAAATAAAAACGCCGTAATAAAATGACATAAAACCCCTATTAAGCAATGCACAGATTAAAAGCCATAAGCTCTGCTAAAACTTCCCTGACCCCTGACCTTCCGCAGCACAAGTTCCCCATTCATGTGCATGGAGAGGTTACTGAAGTGCAGGAGCATCTGGTCCGTGGCCAGCTGCTGCTCGACGACGTCATCGCCGTAGAGCACGATGATGGCAACGCACAGGAACAGGTGGAAATAGTCTGTCTGCGAGAGACGGGAAGGAGGAGGGCAAAAAACAAACAACAATAAAAACCATCGTCTGATTCACACTTAACCATTGGTAAGGAAATACGCAAACAGGACCCTGACCTGCCGGTCCCCCGAGGACTTAAAAAACAAAAACAAAATACAAATATGTACTTCGGCACTGAACACAGACACCTCCTACACATGTACGCAGAGATGCAGTTCCGTGCAGACCTACGCAGTTACACCCATGAAGATGGGGGCCCCCACCTGGTAGTGTGCCCAGCAGGCCTCCCACATGCGCAGCGCCTCGACGTCGGGGAACTCCCGCTTGAAACACAGCAGCATCCAACGGTGGCAGAAAAGCAGCTGCAGGCCGTCCTCACCCAGCTGCATCAAGTGCTGGTGGAAGCGCGGCAGCATCAGTCGCAGCAGCTCGCGCAGGTACATCTGCGGGTAGCGGGCGCATTGTCAGCGCTACACGACGTCAACGCGACGTGCCCTTAACATTACACACTGCCAACGCTACGGGCCGTCAGTGCCACGAGCCATCAACGCTACAAGCCGTGAATCGGGGTTGCGGAATATCACATCAGGATTATATGCTGCACACACGAAGCATCAGCAAGGCTTTAGATGACGGGAGTAAACGTTTGCCCGGATGCCGGCTTTTTGGTATTACTGTATATGGATGCAATCAGATTAGTAGTGCACCTGAGATATTAACGAGAGGCGTATTGTGACACCCAAAAGTTAGCACTCGGTATAAATTCAGTGCATCTTTATGCTAACTGAATTCGGTTAGCAGATTACTCCACATGCTACTGTTTTGCAAATCATGGAAGCCATTTATAAGCAGTGAAGTGGTGGTGAAGAAAGCGACAGCTCAGTAGCCAACATCTTTAAAAGGGGGAGATATTGTGGATAAACAAGATTAAGACTTTGGCGGTGAGGCAGTACTTTGACAACTTAAAGTCCGACACGTTGATTTTATATAACGATTATATTGCGATGCGATATCATGCAGTCCTACCGTCAATGCAACGGACGGTACAAGTCATCAACGCTATACAGGCCATCAACGCTACAAACTGGCAGTGCAAGAAGCCACTTATGCTACAAGCCGCTAATGCTACAGGCCGTCGGTTCTACAGTCAGTTCTACAGGCCCTCAAAGCAACAGACCGTCAATGGTACAGAGTGTCAACGCTACAATCCGACAATGCAACAGACTATTAGCTCTACACGCCATTAATATAAGGCACCCTGAATGTTACAGATCATCAACACTATGTAGACCATCTACAGACCATCAATGCTAAAAGCCATCGATGTAACAGACTGTCAACACAAAAGACTATCAACACTACACGCCATGAACTCTACATACTGTCTTTTCTTTTTTATGACCCTCTTTTCGGCACCCTCTACACCAGCTGCCCGCCCTCCTGTCCTCGCTAGCGATGCCCAAATGAAGCTCCATTTGGCTGCCACTAGTCCCCACTGGGCCTCACCAGCTGCCGCTCCATGTCCTCGTCACGGGGTGAGCTGATGAAGATGGTGTTCTCCATGAGGCCCACGAAGCACCAGAAGGTGTCGCTCTCGTCCTGCACCTCCGTTAGCAATGGGGCCACCAGATCCGACATGCCCTGGCAGTAACCCATCTCTGGGTTGAACACGGCATAGTTGAGCAGGATGCGTCTGCGGGAGGCCATCAGAAACAAAGGACTGAGAACAACACAGAAGAACAACATGGAATATATGCAAAGAAACAGCCCAGCTAATGAGCTGATGATTGGAAGGTCTGTCGGGCCTCCAAACCCAGTGATCCAGGAGTGTGTTTATCAACAGCAGCAAGGCACTGAGACCGCCCATTCTACATCGTAACGACCGCCCATTCTACATCGTAACGACCGCCCATTCTACATCGTAACGACCGCCCATTCTACATCGTAATGACCGCCCATTCTACATCGTAACGATGCTAATTCACATTACGACAAACGTTTGGGTGAAAGACGCCCGGTTGCCGACCTCATGCTCTCCACATTGGGGTTGTTCTCGCCCCTGAAGAAAAGGTTGCTGCGGTCGGTCCGCACCACATCCTTGTCCACAGTGAACTGGACCTTCCGCCAGAACTCGCTGTGCTCCTCTGGGCTCATGGACAACCTGCGATTTGTGGTGGAGGAAGTTGTCGTGGAGGCAGGGAGATGGAGGATTTAGGTGGCGGGTGGTGTTAGAGGTGGAGGGATGAGGAGGATGGGGGGGGGGGTGAAGAGAAGATAAGACGGAGCAAGCACATGAGAAAATCTTCCGGATGGTCTGAACCGCGCTGGAATGATGCAGATCAAAGGCTCCGGCTGCCGGCTGACAGGACAGAAAGCGAGCGGAGACGCCAATCCGGCAAGCACAACTTAATTACCAGCACCGATTCAACCTCCCACTCTGGCACCCAGAGCGCCAGACTGATGCAACCCCACGCAACCACTCCCTGGGATCGAGAGCCTGCACGTGTGTCCTCCACCACCCAGTCATGCACTCCTGGGAGGAGCTGGCTTTTTGAGGTCCCTACTGGCAATTTAAAGGACGCCAACAGGGGGCCTACAGAGATGGTTAAGGGACGCGCCCTCTACAGTCCACACAGGGTACAGCCCTGAATATCGCTTGCTGATTATCAGCTGACCACACTGATCTTTCTCCAGGGGGGGTGAGGGATGACAATCTGCCAGTCAACCTCCCGCCGTTAATGGCACGGTGCCAGGTCATTTACGGACCGGGTCAGCGCACGTCAGCGCAGTGACGCTCGGGCTCGGCTTAGGTGACTTTCCCCTCTGACGTCAGGGGGAGATAAGACGCTTGTGACAGAAGCAGTCAGACAGCGTGCCAGCTGCGTTTGACGGTGACAGTGTTTGGTCAGACAGCCAAGACGTTTACTGCCACTTCACTGCAGCTTATTAAACCAGCACAGTCACTATCTGCTGCCTCACTGAGTCACCTAACCCGAATAACAGTGTTTCAATTTGCGTGGGCAGTGCTTCGTGCCGACATCAAGTCAGTAAATACAAACTGAATGTCAGATCTGATACAAAACCTTCAAAAACCTTGTAAGCTAACATTAAATTAAAGCACCCAGTGTCACCTAATCAGTATGACCTCAAGAAGGATATTACAGATGTATAGACTGGTTTATTTGTAACTTCTATCTACTATTCCCCCCCCCTTAAGGTGATCACATGCTGCTACACGGTGCAAAAACTCATACCACAGCATTTTCGCTCATTCCAAAAAACATTTTCATGTCTCATGCGGAATCAGGCAGCGTAAATAGGCAAGGGCGACAATTTATGCAGGTGAAGAAATTAGAACGGCCTTTTTTGGGGTGTGGAATGAGAACGTGAACATAACTGAGTGAGTGATTCAGTGAAATGCAAGTAAAGAACATTTAAAAGCAACTGAAAAACAAGGAAGCCAGCAAAAATAACATCTCGGCCATCATAAGGTCAAAACAAACCAGCCGCCTCCTCAGGGAACAGCTGCAGGGTAGAGTAGGCGGGAGAGGAACCCCCACCCACGCGTGTGAAGGTTTGATGAATGGTGGAGGTAATGAGCCGGGCCATAAGCGACCCACCACGAGGGCCTGGTGGGCCGGGGTGAGGGGGGGGCACGAGCAGAACTCACCTCCTCTGCTGGATCTCCTGGTACTCCCTGCGTTTCTGCAGCCTCCAGGCCTCGCGCTCCTCCGAGGAGGAGTCACAGGTATAGTAGCGGAGCAGGAAGGGCCACACCTCCCCACGGATGGCTGGGTCGATCCCCCCGAAGAAGATGGCCTGTCGGGGCGAGTCGGCAGGGTCGTTTTTGGAAGGACACACAGAGGTCCCCTTTGGTATGTGATCGATAGTGTGCCGCGGTGGATTTTACTAGTCCAAGAAAAAACTGAAAACGGTGCAAAGCTAATTTTTTATCCCCACCTATCCAAAACATAATCGTACTCAACCCAGAACCCAGTTTAGGAATCACAGGACTGACAGTGGGGTACTCTGGACGGGAAATCAGTTCATTGCGGGATGTACGCTCACACACAGACACCCACACACACTAGGGGTAATTCAGAGACACTTCACCTATCCATACATGGGGGGGGAAAGCACGAGTTCCCTTTTTAGGGAGGACACCCACACAAAAATGGAGAGAACATGCAAATTCTGACTGGCGCAGGATTCAAGCACGTAAGCGTGGCGGTGCAAGGCCACAGTGTGCCCCACTGTAAAAATACATCTGAGGGCCATACGTTCTCATTGACGTCGGGTGAATTAAGGATGAGAGGCATATGAAGCACAGACATGCGCCCCCTGGTGGTCCCCCGTTGCCAGCTCACCTTGCGCAGCTTGTACTCCTCCTCCACCTGCCCGCTGTGGTTCAGGTGCCGCAGCCAGGTGGCGACGTCGAGCCGGCGGTACAGACGCTCCTCGGGGTGCGTCTCGGAGGAGGGCAGCGTGGGCCGCCGGATGGAGAACTGCATGCAGGACTTCTCGTCCGACACCTGGGCGGCGAGGAAGCGGGTCAGTACCGGCACGCCATTATCGGCACTGCAGCTGCCTCCGGGAGGAGCAGCTCGTTAATAAAGGGCTGCCTGGCAAAGTGCTGATTGAAAGTATAATTTCCTGAGACGGATTCCCCGACATATTAAATCCTGGGTGTGGGAGGGATATCAGAGAGACTGCAGACAGGCAGGATACAGAATCAGGGCTCTCTCTCTCTCTCTCTCTCTCTCTCTCTCTCTCTCTATCACACACACACACACACACACACACACACAAACACACACACGCAATATAATCTAATTCTCTCTCCACTGCATTTATTTGTTTTCAGGCTTTAATATTGCAGCTCTGCCCCCTGTCCCCCAAACCACAAACAAATACAAACAGCCAGCTTAATAAATATTCATAATGCCGTGCTTTCGAAGCCGGCGCCCAGAACGTGGCCCCGCGGGTGAAAACACCAGCAAGCGTGAATGTCGATGGCACTCAGTTCCCAGGTAGCACAGACCGGTAAATAACGAGCTAATGGCGTGACCCTGAGCAGCCCACCCAACTCGGAAGACTGCTTTTAATGATGACATCATCTGCAGCCAATCAAGCAGCACAGGGTGATAATACACTCCAACCCCAGACAGGTAGAGGGTTCTGGTAGGAGGGTTTACAGCCATGCACCTTACATTAAGTGGTAGGGTGGGCGTGGCCACAGAAAGGGGGCGGGGTCACCAGCAGCATTAACGTGATTGGGGCTCGGGTGTAAGAAGACCGAATCGTGAGCATAAGAACCTGGCCACCTCACCTGCTCCTTGGCCTGAGTCTCACGGCAGCATTTCCACTGCTGGAAGACCTCGGCCAGCTTGTCCAGGCCCGCGTGGTGAAAATGAAGGATCTTGTATTGGCTCTCCCGGCTGGCGATGACCAGCTGGCCACTGGTGCAAGCCTCGTCGCTGCAATGACACCGTAAAGGTCGAAGGTCTTCCCAGGACAGCATTAATCCCCCATCATTAGATCATACTACCACGTATTCAATTGTGCACCCTGCTGATGTCACAGAGTGACATTTCTGCTACCCATTTGTACAGCAGGTTAACGGAGATGAAGTCTACGTGATGTGAATATCTGTCAATCAATCTGTGCAATCAGTACATTCAGAGACATCAAATGTTTAAAAAGAATTATTTCACTTGAATAATGGAATGAATCAGATTAATGTGGCAAAAAAAAACATCTTTCCTTTTACATTTTTCACATTCTAATATATAGGTCAAGTCGAGGTTGGGCTGCGACTGGAACAGAGCGAGGGGGAATCCAGGCCCCCATGATAATCAGCTCTGAACATTCATGATGGGGCAAGAGACTGGGAGTTGTATGGGGGGGGGGGGGGCACGAGTCATTCTACCTTAAAGGTTTAAGATATGCAGAATCTTAAGCACATGTGAGGATGGAGCTTTTTGTTTAAGCTAAACGTTAGCACTGTACGGTAAAACCTTTGACATGCAGTTTTTAATCACTTCCTACTGCAGAACACTGAAAACCGAAAATGGATAGATGAGTTTGCGTGGAATCCGAAGGGGGTTATTTTTTTTTTTTATGTGGACAAGCATAAACGCGGCCAGAGCCCCAGGATGAGGGCAGGATGGGAAGATTCAAAAACGCAGCTGGAACTGTGCGGCAACGGATCAACGAAAACCCAGAGCTGTTCCAAAGCGAGAGATTACTTATATATAAACACACCACGCAAAATAAAATGAATCACCCTTTTTCTCCCGTTAATTCTCCAGGCTCATACTGTACTGAGTCGCTACAACTGAGAGTCAGGGGAAATCAGTATGGCGGAGTGTTGATGGTACTCCTGACGATACTCCCAGTGTGTCACAGTGCTACAGCAACACCATGCGCAGAGTCAGCTGGGACGGGGAGCGCGCTCATTTTTATGTTAATGGTCTGCATTTTAATGGTTAGGTGATTTCAGCACAGAACCAGAGAAAGCCAGAAAACAGATCTGGACCCCCCTCCCCCCAAAAAAGATCACTTCGACTTCTGCATGTGTCTGTAGGACTACCTCGTAACAAAGGCATGTCTGGCGGACTGGGTCGCAGAGTAATTATTTTCAGTCGTGCACTAGTGAGGACGCCCTTTTTGAAAATTAAATGGACTAAATGAAGATAGACAAGGAAAAAATGAATAATTTGGTCACAGAGTCCAAGTCGGGTGCGTTTCTGACAATGGAACAATTACAGGCGATTCAGCTGCAATCAAAACTAGCCTACATGTAATTAACGGTTAAAGGCAGGCACTGAGGACTGCCAAAGAGAGATTTGCATATATTATGAACCCATCACATATGCATGGAATTCCAAAATGATATGCTGTATATAGGCAGACTATGAATTAAAGTGTTTTCATTCAGAGGCTGAATGTGGCAGAGGAGCAAAACATGTAAGCAGTCAAGAGAAACTGCAGGATGTGCATTTAAAGAGCACGGCGTTTGGGTCCAACCTGAAGAAGAGCCGCAGTGACCTCATGTGACCCAGGTCAACTCGGAACACCCCACACAGCTGCTCCAGAGCAAGCACCTTCTGCTGCTCCTCCCACCGAACCCCCTGTGATTGGCTGGTCTCAGAGGGGGCGTGGCTGTCAAGACTGGAGGCGGAGCTAGCTGAATGGGTCATGGATTCATCACACATCTCCCTGGAATAAAAGGTGGGGGGGGGGGAGTAAAAACATCACTTCCTGTCAATCTGCTACATTTCAGCTCAGAAAACCCTTCATTCTTAAGTTGACTTTTAGAGCTTTGATATTAATAAATCTCCATTTTACAGGGATACCAACTGCTGAAAGACAGCTATGATCCTTCATTATACTTTCGGTTCACAATCAGCAAAGCTAGATAAAGCACTACATGCCTTCTTCACTCACCGGTATCTGCCTACTATCTACAGAAAGTGGTGGGTTATGGGACAGTTAAGGGATGGGTGGGACTACAAAATGACGCATCCAAATGGGTCAAAGTGTGGCATGCTATGTTAGGAAGGCTATGAACGAAAGCAGAATCTCCAGAAGTTAATGAAACTACCTCTGAACTGAACTTCCAAGGTCATTTGCTGTATATGTAAAGTATTACATAGTATACATATTTGCTCTGCTACATTGCACAGAACCTTGGCATGATGGCTGAGAGGGCAGCACTGTTGGGTTGGAATCTGGCCCCCAGTGTCGTGTGAGGAGCGTGCACGTGCCCCCAGTGCTGTGTGAGGAGCGTGCACGTGCCCCCAAGTGCTGTGTGAGGAGCGTGCACGTGCCCCCAGTGCTGTGTGAGGAGCGTGCACGTGCCCCCCAGTGCTGTGTGAGGAGCGTGCACGTGCCCCCAGTGCTGTGTGAGGAGCGTGCACGTGCCCC